CCAATCAGTTCAATTCAGTTCAATTTCAATCATCAGTTCAATTCGATTCAGTAAATGTGAACAAACCCTAAATAATGGGAGATCTGGAGATGGTTAATTATGGCACATCTATTGTGAGAACAAATTCTTTATGCTATTTTTAAAAGTGATATGTCTATTGACTACCTAAATCAAGTTTCCTGAAAGGTTTATAGTTACGTTCAATGTTTTGACATCGAATCGTGAAACACTCTTGTCTATTTGATGACAAAGATGGAAGTCAAGTGCAAAAAAATGGCATTTAAATATGTGGCAACACATATTTATTTCAAATTAGAGAATGGGCAAAAAAAGCATAGACAAGAGGCAATCAATGCTTGCGACAAGTTAACACTTGTTTTGGTGAGAGTGAGAGATTAGCTCAAGTGGTTAGAGCTTCCCTTCTGAAGTATCCAAGATCGTTAATTTTAACCTTATTCGATTAATAAGTATTAAAGCAACTGATTTTAAATAGAAAGTAAATAATTAAAATTAATTAATTGTGATGGGACATGAATTTGACTTATAACTTTGATCAATCAAGGACTAGTGTTTTGGGTAATTTTACCATGCCACGTGGGCCAACCAGATCGTGACACGTGTTATGCCCCGATTAGTCCGGATTAGACCAATCCCCATTTGACACGTGTCATCTCCAGAAGCTGGGAGAAAAGGCGGCCTTCAAGGGCCCAAAATCCCGAGAAAGTCGTAATTTGACGCAGTCCAACAGGGACACATTTCCCAATGAACCTATAAATAGGGAGATTACCCCTATTTTGGGGACATCTACAATTTATTACAAGATACCTTACATTCTCTTAAATCAGAGAAAACACCTAATCTCAGAATCCGAAATGATCCTCTTTACTTTCCTCACCTTTTTCACATTCTCCTACACGTTCTAACTTGATCGTCAAAGTCTCCGCTGTTTTGCAGGTACAGGCGCAGTCGGATCAGTCTTGAAGCTGTAACTCTCTCGAGGGACAAAAACACCCAAAACAACTAGCAAGGTTGATCTCAGACAAGTTTGAATGATGTAGAGCTTAATTAAAGACCATACGAATTTAGTTACTTTTGGTGCCTTCGATCAAATGTTTGATTCCTTTGATAGCGCAATTTAGGCAACAATTTGATATCGAACCACTTGCTCAGTTGCTCTGAACGAATGACATTACTACTTTTTTTATGGGCCAAATATATTAATTCATCCTCTTTTTGGGCTTATTAGTGAATTTTTATGGGCCAAATATATTAATTGTATATCCTCCTTTTGGGCTTATTAGTAAATTTTTATGGGCCAAATATATTAAATGTATATCCTCTTTTTGGGCTTATTAGTGAATTTCTTTGGGTCAAATATATTAATTGGACTCGAAGTTCATGGACCACATCCAAATGGAATATATGGCGCTACAATTATTTTTCGCCAAACATTCGATTCGACCTAACTTTAACAATCCAAATTTGATGTTTGAACCTCTTGTTTATTTTGATAGGTTGTTGTGTCATTTATTTGAGCACTTCAACTGTCGCACAATAAATAACACAGTCAGCTGTACACATATGTCAATCTACTAATTTGTTTTTGTTTTATATAATTAAATATTAATAAAAATTAATTTATAAATAGTACGTAAAAAAAAATTAAACATTAAATTAAGGGTAATGGTATAATTAAAAATACTCTTGGAAATTGTATAAAATTAGAAATTCATGACAAAAACACTTGTAGATCAGTGTATTAGTGTAAATTTGTCATGATTTTCTAAATTTAAACAGTTATCAAGAGTATTTAGCCTTTTTTAGCTAAGCTATCTTTCTTCTTTCCCGGAGTCTTTTTAAAGGGATACGCAGGAGTCCAAATGTTTGAATTGCCTACGAGCCTGTTCTATCTAGGAGGGGAAGAAATTTTTAATGCTTATACATAGCCCTAAGGGTTATGTATAAAATTTTCCTTAAAGTAATACCTATGTGACAATATATGTATGTTTTTATTATATTAGTAAAAATTTATGGTCAAATCTAATACATAAATAGTGAAAAAGTCCAACGTCCTACTTATTCTGGGACGGATAAAGTATAATTATACAGTCGGTTCTTATTTATTTGAAAAATGTTTTGTTCATATTTACTCGATATAGGTAATTTACTCACCATAAATTGTGTGAAATCTACAAGTCCAATGACAAGCTAATTTGACAATTAGCTTAGCATGCCATATAAATTTTTTAGCTAATTTTCATTGTAGTTAATTTGAACTCTAATGGCTAGCTATTAGCATACAATTTAAATGAATCACGCCTCCTTAATTAACGTTTTATATTTCATTTTATTGATTTTTTTTTTTTGGGTAATTTTTTCTCCAAGCAATTTTTTTGGTAAGTTTTCTCCAAGCAAATTTGCTTAAGCAACCTAATTGTATTTTCTAGCTCCAATGGTTAAACTAGGGGAACCCAAATTGATAGTTCTTAGTTACTTAGTTGATGATGATTGAGTTGTCCATATTTTATATGTGGGCTCCAGACTTGTGCTTGAATAACCTTCCTAGTTCCTACTCGCTTGCAAAAGAAAGAAGAGGCAAATTGGAATTTAATAAAGCTTTAATATATTTGTCTTTTCTTAAAACTATCATAAATAATTGCAATGTTTAATTAATTCAGTTTGTCTAACACGTGGTTATGGTCCATAATCTGTACATGAGGTTTATATTTAAGTAATCCTATTAACTAGGCATAACTTTTTTCTAGCCTATTCTAGCTAAGCACGACTCACTTGCGCATAAACCACATTGATATGACAAGTGCATACAACTATACAACGGTGCATGTCCAAGTTAATTCGTAAGCATCTTTTGATTATTTTGACTTAATTGAAAGAAAACAGGAAATTGGAAATTGAAAATTAGCACAAAGCTTCTGATTTTCCCTGTCGTTCATGATAATACATGCTGCCATCAAATAGAAACACGGACTTGTCACAAAATTTGGCCCCTAATTTCAAGTTTTCTAAGTGTCATTGTTTCAAGTCTTTCAACAATCAACAATAACAGCCTATGTATTTCACGTTTTAAACATTCAATGATAATTACTTCCTATGTATTTCCTACATTATATGTGTGCTGACGTGTACTTGCTTCGTCACAACATAGGTCACATAGCTTGGCCGGAAGCCATTGACATTGGCCAATCTTCTATGGAGTACTATTAAACGCACCACTTTCTCGATCTGATCCCTAAAAGATTACCCATACATGTATTATATTGATCACTTACAAATATAGTTATTACGGAGTATCAATTAAGCATAAATGTAGACATATTTATAATAGCCACGTAATTTTTGTAGCCGTTACCTATCATGTTTAAATCAAAGCCTTACATTTTTTTTTACTACCTTCGTTTCATATTTTTGCAATTTTAGAATATTTTTATATCTTACAAATAATACTCATCTACGGTGTTTATTGAAGTATAAGTATTTGATTTTATACTGCTATTAGAAAATAGTTCAGTTACTATTCTACCCTTCACTTCCTTTGATCTCTGTAGTTTTTATGAAGCTGCTGCTTTGTAAATGGTTGAAAACTTAACCAAATATCAAAGCTTTTTATTTGGGTGGAATTATAAATTAGGATAGTTTTCAAAATGGCTACAATAAAATTATTGTAGTGATCAAATCTCAACCATTCATTAATTTTTGACTAATCCAAACCTTAAATTGGATGACTTTGTGGTTTAAACCAAAAAAAAATAGTTTGACTAAAAAAAAAAACTGCTGCACGTTCTTTTAGTTTCCAATTCTCCATCAGTCTATCTTACTCTGTAGTCTGTACATTGCTTTGCTCCCTTCTTCTTAGCAATTGCTTTTTTTTTTTTTCAAGATTTTCCCAGAAAAAACAAATAGAGCTAAGATCTAGTTTGTTGGCTTTATCATTCATTCATTTGCGATTACTATCTTATGACAATAGATTACCGTTCCTCACATAGTCACATGTACTGCATGGGATGATGGGAGTTGGGTGGTTTATTTTTTAAGGCAGGATGATCCTTGATGACGATGAATGTTCAATTTGGGTGGGGAAAAATCCAATTATACTTTATTAATTCTAATTACATAATCATCTGTGTTTATGCATATTTGATCGATGGAGATGTCCAGGAGGTAGAGAAACTATAAATGGCAGAAAACCATATTTTTGAGTAACAAATACAAATAGTTTTTTTCCGGTTATATTTTTTATGTCAAAGAATTAAATGGACGAACTAGATTTATCTGTAAAATTCTAAGGTTCAAGATTTAAAATAGTTACAATGACTACATTTTCATTGTAGCCATTGAAAAGTCTTCCTATAAATTTAAGGATGAAATTACGTTTTCATAATTCAACGGTTATATAATCTATATGATTATAACAACTACAATGGGGACAATTTTTGTGAAAAAATTTTGGATCTCACGTTTGATAATAGTACATAATTCTAATTCTTTATTTCTCTAATAATAGTATGTGAAAATATAAACTAACAAGATATCACAGGATTATGTTTCAAATTTTGTCAATTTATCCTAATCTTATTGTATTTTAGACAAAATTGTGAAAAAAGATCTTTTAAATGATCAACTTTTTTGAAAAATGACCTTTTAAATTATATTTTACTTAATACTACTCGTAATTAAGTATTGACCACCTCACAAGCTCACGTACAAGTCAACAATATGAATACTACTCGTAATTAAGTAAAATCAAAGTGTGAAGACGAGAAAATTATTCACATATTTTTTGGTGCATGCATGATGCATCCATATAAATAGATACGAAGTATGAACTATCTATTTCATCCCTTCCTCATCATATCATTTAAGAGTTCTATTTGATTTACAATTCTATATCTATCTATCTAGCTATATGTAAGTAATCAAATTTCCTTAATTAATACCATCATTAATTCATTATATATTAGATCTATTTTTATTTGATCATAATATTATTAAAATTCTTATTATGGCACCACGCACTACATCTCCTTCCAATTCATCCTCACCTGATTGCCTAAATTTTAATCCACAAATAAACTTCTCATCAATGTCCTTTAAACAACGCCTCCAAACTATAGTAGAGAGCAGGCAAGGGTTGTTATATGCAATGTTATGGCAAACAACACCCGGTGTCGAGAACATGATGACAACACCGGCGGCTAGCAACATCAGTAGCCGCCGTGTGTTAGCATGTTCCGACGGTTACTTGAGAAGCTGCTCCATAAGGAGCAGCCTAGACGAGGAGATTGTTATGACGTCAGATGCAGAATGGTTTTATGCAAATTCAATAGGAAAACACCTAATTATTGAGGACAATTACAATCTTGTAATTGGGGAAGCCATGACTTCAGGGTCTTATCTGTGGCTGATCAATAACTCGGGTTGTGAGAGGGCGAGGGAGGCTTTGCAGCACTATGTTCGGACCCTGGTGTTTGTACCTGTTGCTTCAGGTGGAGTCATTGAAATCGGATCCATGGATGAGATCAAAGAAGATAGGAGCTTAATTGAGCTCGCCTTCTCAATTTTTACCAGATCTCACAGCAAAGCTGTGACGCCACCTGTAATGCATGCGCATCGTACCAATCATGTAGAGGCAGAGAGGCAAAGGAGGAACAAGCTCAACCAATGTTTCTACACGCTACGCTCAGTGGTTCCCTACGTCTCAAAGATGGATAAAGCATCTCTGCTATCAGATGCAGTCACTTACATCAACGAGCTGAAATCTGCTGTAAGAAATCTGGAAGAGAAACTTCAAGAACGGCCATCTGTAAGTACTATTAATAGTAGTTTTTCCCCACATTTACAAGATCTGCTTCCTCATCATCCTACTACTAAGGGATGGCCAATAGAGGTTGAAGTTGAAGTGAAATCGATAGGAAAGGAAGTGGTAATTCGAGCTCGAACGATGGGTTTGGATCATCCGGAAGCAAGAGTTATGAATGTGTTGAAAGACCTACGTTTGGAAATTTGTTATGCAACAATATCACATGTGAATGAGGTTGTATTTCAGAATATTATTGCTAAGATGCCATTGTATCCTGATGAATTAACTAGTACTCAAGATAGCTTAACTAATGCTATTCGTCAGAGGCTGCAGTATTCATAAGTTTTGTAACCATTTTTATGACGTATGCATGGTTTCTTGAATCGATCCTTCAATCAATCTATATACAGAGTACTGTATTATAATTTTATGTAATGATATTATGTTTATGCATGTTTTTATTCTATTTTAATTTTTTATATGTAGCTAGCCACACCATGTTACAGGGGTCACTCGTTTGGTCAGAGATTACTTGTAGAGGGTAATTATTCATGGGTTATTCGTTTGGTCAAAGATTATCTATGAGTAAGTAACCCCTAAATACTGAATAAGTAATTCATACAAATAAAATAAAATTGCCTTTTTAATAAAATTCAGTGATATTTATCATCCCTAAATATTTATATAAATAGGGCTTACCAAGATTTACTGTGAAATCATTGTATTTACGTTTTTATGGTTTTTTATTTTTTGTTTTTCTTTCCAATCCTAGCTAGCTTATGCTCCTGTTTAATTATGAAACTATTAAAAGGATTGTTTTTTGTTGATCGTTCAATTTCTAGCTAGATGGATTTAGTATGAAGAGTATTCAACATTTCAACCTATAAATAATTATTGAGATAATAATATTTCCATGATTAAAGAAAAACTAACCATCTTCATATATGGAAGAAAACCGACATAATTCGTTATTTTGGATGATAAGAGAGAGTGTTATCTTTGGTGATTTAAACTAAGAACAAGACGGTTCTCAAAAAAAAAAAAAAGATGGACAAAGATGAGAGTAGTTCATCATTGATTTTACCCATCTTAATTGTGCTCTATTAGGTAACTTCCTAGGAAATGTTATAGAAATTACAATTATAGGAAATTTTTTGTGAATTAGCAAGGTTACAATTTTTGTTTCCTTTTGTTCTTTCATTGAAATTACACCTTCCTCCCTCCGTTTTTAAATACATGCTCTATTTTTCATTTCCGGCCGTTTTTAAATACTTGCTCCATTTCTTTATTTGAAAAACTTTTACAATATTTAATTAATTTCTCTCACATATTGAACCCAACAATATTAATTCTATATTCTCTCTCCTTCTATTCTCTCCACTACTTTTGATTTTTACAATTTTATTTTTCCACCTACCCCACTATCTCCATATTTTATTAATTTATCCAATTTTTTCTTAAAACTCCGTGATGAAAAAATGGAACAACTATTTAAAAACAGAGGGAGTATTTATCAAGCTTAGTAGTCCCAATCCAGATACGGAGTATATTCTAAGTTATAACTGGACATTATTATTGAGTATCTTCGTCAAGGTTTATTGGCTTTCACCTAAATTTTAATTTTTCTACTCTAAAAATTATTGATAAGGTGAAATGAAGAAGGTTTTCCATTTATGATCCACCTAACCTAACGCGTGCACAATCTTTTAAAACTCACTTCCTCCGAGAATGACATAAAATTAAGATCCAAATGATGAAATTTTCAAAAATTATAATGATGAACGAACCATCGACACCCCACGTCACTAAGATTCTTAATCAATTATTGTGGTAGAGACTAGAGAGGTCCAACTGCTCTTTATATTCATCTAATTAGACAAACAAAAAAGCAATCTTTAAATTACTGTAAATCTGTAATACATATTATTAATCATATACTCCAATAATGATGGCAATAATGATCTGCTCTTGTATTTCCTGTTGCCAATTCCTTTCAACAATTCTTTCGATTTATGCCATAACGCTGTTTTAAATTTTTAATAACTGGCATAATTTTTGTTTTTGACGTCAAATAAACGTATAATCTACGTGGTTTATGGTAGCGACTAGAGTTGTCAATTTCGGTAAACGGGTCGGGTAAGAGTGGGTCGGGTCAACTCGGTTCGGGTCGAATTGGATTTATTTCATAAACTATGCGGGTCGAGTTTGTGTTGGGTCATGCTTGAGTCGGATCACGTTGGGTCATACTTCTTATCGAGTTCGGGTCGGGTTATATTCGGGTCGGGTGAACAATAGGTCGGGTTTAATTCGGGTTTTCACGCATTAAAACGGGTAGGGTAATTCTGGGGTTCGAGTCGGATTCGGTTCAAGTCAATAATTTGCGGGTTAGAATCAGGTCGGGTCATTCTCGAGTTTGAGTCGGGTTCGATTCAAGTCAATAGTTTGCGGATTATAATCAGGTCGGGTCATTCTCGGGTTCAAGTCAGGTTATGTTCAAGTCAATAATTTGCAGGTTACAATCAGGTCGGGTCATTTCCAAGTCAAGTCATATTCGGGTTCAACTAAGTATAAATAGATAATTATCATTTTTATCAAGCTAGTTATTTCCTTTGACTATAATATAGTATGGCAATATAATAGGGAATTATAGTCTTTAATTTAGGAAGATAATTATCTCCTTTGACCATACAACAAATATATACTATATTTAACTCTTAAATTTTAAATTTGAGGATGATACTCCTTTTTTTTGCTGGCTTGAACTAACTTGGTCTCCCTAAACAAAATGATTTGATCAACAATAATAAGGTGGTCTACATTGCATTTAAGGTGATTTGAAATCGGGTCGGGAATAATTTGGGTTGAATTTAAGTCGGGTCAATAACAAGTCGTGTTAATTTCGAGTACAGTTAGTAACAGATCGGGTTAAATTTTTGGGTCGGGTAAGTAATAGGTCGGGTAAAATTTGAGTCGGGTCAATAAAAAGTCGGGTTTAATTTGGGTCAGGTCAATAACAAGTCAGGTTGATTTCGGGTCGGGTTTGTAACAGGTTGTGTTAAATTCGGGTCGGGTTAGGAACTAGTCAGGTTGAATTCATGCCAGGTTAGTAACAAGTATGGTTAAATACAAGTTTTGACGAGTTAAAACGAGTTTGGGTTAATTTCGGTTCAAGTCAGGTTCGGTGCAAGTTAATTAAATTGGTCGTTGTAAACCGGTAATTCGTTGCAAGTTGTAAACCGATAAATTGGCCGTCTAAAGGCAAATTGGATAGTTCCACCCACCCAATTGAAATCTCGGAGGGTTTTAGGGACCATGACAAACATTTCGGCAATTTTTATTCTAGACGAAAAAAAGTCAAAAATTTCCAAAATTAAAGGCTAACATGTCCACGTTTTTTGAGAAATTTTGGAGGTTTTGGGGCCTGGTGTTGCAAAGTCTTTAGATTTTAGAGAATACATTTGGGGGTCATATATTGCCGATTGGAAACATATATGATCAGTATATGTTGTCATAGATGTTCGTGGTAGGCTTGATTTAATGAAATTGATGCAAGTTGCAAATCGGTAAATTGGTTGTTTAAAGGCAAATTGGATGGATATACCCACCCAATTGGACTCCCAGAGGGTATTAGGGACCATAGTAAAAATTTCGGCAATTTTTATTTCCGGGCTAAAAAATGTAAAAAAATTCCAAAATTGAAGGCTTATATCCACGCTTTTTAAGAAATTTTGGAGGTTTCGGGGCACGGTGTCGAAAAGCCTTGAGATTTTAGGGAATACATCTCGGGGTCATATAATGTCGTTTGGATCCACATATGATCATTATATATTGTCATAAATGTTCGTGGTAGGCTTGATTTAATGAAATCGGTGCAAGTTGTAAAATGGTAAATTGACCGTTTAAAGGCAAATTGGATGGTTCCACCCACCCAATTGGATTCCCGGAAGGTATTAGTGACCATGGAAAATATTTCGGAAATTTTTATTTTTAAGGCGAAAAAAAGTTAAAAAAAATTCCAAAATTGAAGTCTTATATCCATGCTTTTTGATAAATTTTGGAGGTTTCGAGGCCCCGGTGTCGAAAAGTCTTTTAATTTTATGGAATACATTTCTGAGTCTTATAATTAGGGGCGAGCAAAATGGGTACCCGGTCAAAATTTTAGGAACCGGACTTGGAATTGGTTGCTACTGGGTCCTAAAATCTAGAATTGGAATTCTAACCACTTCAACTGGGTCCTAAAATTTAGGATCGGAATTGGTATTGGAACCACCGGGAACCGGTCCGGTTACCCACTAATGTACAAAATTGTTAAATTTCACTACTAAAATTCGGCCAATTTGCGACTGTTACGACCGTCATCAAAACGGTCGCAAAATATGAAATTTGCGACCGTTTTGAAAGAGGTCGCAGATTTGCTGTTGCGAGCGTTAGTAGCGGTCGTAAATTTCTACAATTGCGACCGTTTGAGAGTCGTTCGCAAATTTCCACAATTGCGGCCGTTTAAGAGTCGGTCGCAAATTTACAACTGATAATGCCGGTCGCAAAAGATCTATTTTTTTTTAAAAAAAAGGGTAATATATAAGAGGAGCACACCCTAACCCTAATCAGTGTACAGCCGCTCCTCTTCCCCTCTCTCATGTTTTTCATTTCTCTTTCTTCTCACGCCTCTCTCCTCTCCCCTTCTCTCTCTTTCCTCTTTTTCCTACCCTGATTTGTTTCCCCTTCTACTTCTGTTTCCTCTTATCCCCGATCTCTTTCCTCTTCCAGATCTGGAATTTTTGTGGTCGAATGCGACCACATGAACCATTAGAGGAAAAATATTAATAAAGGTGGGTTAAATTTATGTTTGTTTCCGATTTATGAGGGTTTTATTTCGTTTTTGTTGGATTTTTTTGTTCCAATTTGTTGGTTTGATTGTTGTGGGTTTATTGTTTTTGGATATAATTGTTGGGTTGAATTTTTGAGCGATTTTTTTTGTTTGATTTTTGTTAATATTACTAAGTATGTTTGATTTTCGTTTCAAATTTTGGGTTGATTATTGTTAATTTTATTTTAGGTTTGATTTTTTTTTGTTGATTTTGGGTTTGATAATTGTTTTATTTTCGATTTTGTGGTTTATTACTTTTATTAATTCGAATTTCCATGTTTTATTCATTCAAATTTTGTCTTTTTTTTAAAAAAAAATTCATTTGAATTTTTGTTAGGATTTTTTGGGTTTAATCTTATCCGTGTTTGGTTGATTTTTCCTGGTTCGTTTGGTTTTTGTTATTTTTGGGTTTCATTTTCGTTAATTTTAATTTGGTTAATTTTGTTTGATTTTTTGTTTTAATATTTCGTTCTTTTGGGGTTTATGTTTGATAATTTTGTTTAATTTCAATTTGGGTTTGATTTTATCTGTGTTTTATTTTCGTTAATTTCAATTTGGTTAATTTTGTGTATTAATATATGTGGTGGATGGGGTTTTCGTGGTGGTTGGTTGGGGTTTTCGTGGTGGCTGGGTGGTGTTTTCGAGGTGTGTAGTGTGGTGGGTAAAGGTGGTTGGCCGGGAAGGGGCAGTGGGTGGAGTTGGCTTGGGTGGTGGTGGGGGGGGAGGCGTGGTTGTGAAGAGCAGGGATGGGGACGAATTTTCTTTTTTTCTTTTTTTTTTTATTTTAGCGACGGCCAAAAGCGGTTGCTAATTTTCAAAATTGCGATTGCTTCTTTTACCGGTCGCGACTGTTTCCCTTACGGTCGTTGAAATTAATAAAAACGGTCGCAATAAATCTACGACCGTCAAACAGTCGTAATTATTTTTTTTTCGACCAAGTAAATAATGACCACCCCTTTACGACCGTTGACGGTCGTAATTATAAATTGCGACCGTTTTTGCTATTTTCTGCGACCGCTAGAGGCTGTCGCAAAAACCTTAATTTTTAGTAGTGTTTTAATACAATATTTTGATCCATTTTCATTTTTAGCGTTTAATAATTATATTTATATATACATAAATCTATTTTATTTATGTTTATTATTAATATAATATTTTTTAACTTTAATAACTAAATACATTCTAACATATGTTTGTTTTTAAAATACAATTAGTTTAATAATTATTGGGTAACCGGGTACCCAACCGGTTCAGGGTCCAAAAAATTTAGAATTGGAATTGGAACCGGTTGTAACCGGTTCCTTCATTTAATACCTGAAATTGGAACCACCAGGTCCAATTCCGATTCTAGATCCGCAGGTTCCTTACTGGTTCCAATTCCAATGCCGGGTACCCGGAATTTATGCTCACCCCTACTTATAATGTCATTTGGAACCATATATGATCATTATTTGTTGTCATAAATATTCGTGGTAGGCTTGAGTTAATGAAATCGGTGCAAGTTGTAAATCGGTAAATCGGCTGTTTAAAGGCACGTTGGATGGT